TGACACCACCAGGGTTCCTCCTCTCGGTGAGGCCACCTGGCGCTGGAACCCATCTCCCCCTTCCCAAGCGGAAGCAAGAGGCTCCTGTGCACATTCCCTCTCTGTCCCAAGTCATCAGGCCAACATGAGGTCCAGGTCACCGTGCAAGCCCTGACCTCTCGCCAAAGACCTCCCCTGTCATGGTCTCCCCTAGTCCAATGCCCCTCCCTGCAGTCTTGGCAGGGGTCCTAAATTAGGAGCTTGTAGACCTCCAGGGAGACTGTCAGGACTCAATCCTCTAAACTCCCAGTGGCCTGGGTGTCTGGCCCATGCTACCCCACCCCTCAAGGAGCCAGAATCCAACAAAGAGGATTGGAGACTGTGATAGTGTGCGTGGACTAGAGAAACAACTTCATAGACGCTCCTATGTGTATAAGAAAGAGCTTTATATACAAGAGCAATTGAATATTGAGAAAAAAGCCCAGCCCAGTCCAGATCAAGTCCACAGTTCGATATTAGTCTATATGTCCGACACCACTTTATACAGTCCTTTTCAGACTCACGAAATACATGCAATGACGCCAAATGCAGGAAGATCACAGGCCAGTGGGTGGCAAGTTTTGTGGATCCAGTGGCGTTGTAAGCATCTCAGCGCTGGCAGGGGTCTCCACGTGGCTTCTCCAGCTCTCAGGGCACTAGCGTAGCTCCATGTGTCTTGTCAACTGCAATGTCTTGCAGGGAGTGAGCATGCATCTTGCTTTCAGCGAGCTATTTATCTCCTTAGTGCCTCCAAATGAGGTCATCACGCTGCGACTTGATTGACAGGCTAAATTCCACCCCTTCACTCTTAATCCTCAAATTGACAACAGATGATGTAACTACCACAGAGACCCTCCCCCCAAAGGAACACCACAACCACAGGATGGCTGTGTGACTTCGAACGCATCTCCAGGGGAGGGGGACCCAGAACCCACTGAGACAGTGGGAACCTGGGGCTATACTGTTCCCTGAGGGAACTGGGGTGAGAGGGGGGGTACTCTCCACAGTAGGAGCCACATATCCTCTCTCTGTCTCTGGCTCACAACACACACACACACACACACACACACACACACACGGGGGCTTTTTTAAAATCATGGACATGGAATTAAAAGATCATTTCCCAGCCCTCAGATGCACCCTTACAAGACCCCCTACCCCTTACTCAAATCAAGTTCCATTCATCCCCAGAGGTGAAAGGAGCTGACCAGAAGGACT